GTCCTGGGGGGCAGCTCCACCCCCCCACCCCATCCCCCCATCTCCTCTCCCCACCCCCTGGTCAGGTCGGAGGCGGGAAGCTGATGTCATGGAGCAGGCAGCCGCAGTGTTCCCTCATCTCCTGCTGGTGTCCCAGGTTAAAGCTGCTCCTCAGCTCCCAGCCCCCTTTGCTCCCGCAGAGGCAACCAGTAAGAGCCCCCTGGGTGGGGAGACCCAGCTCCGTGGCTGGTAGACCCCGCTGGGAACAGGGACCGCAGGGGAGCCTTCCCAACATACAGCCCTCCTCCCTGCACCGTGAGCTACCCCCTGTCTGCACACAGCCCCTAGCTACCCTCTTGCTTGCACCCTAAGCTGTTTTCAAACTTTTTGAGCTAAGCTCCCCACCTTTGAGTTATAATTTTTGGTTGCCCACCCCCCAACCTGAACAGGCTGGGTGGCCTGCTTAGGTGAGTCGGGGGGTGGAGGTGGCACTCCCTCTCTGGACCCTGCCGTCCGGAGCTGGCTCGACCCCTGCCGGCCCCTGCCTCCGTAAAATAGAAGTCAAACTATGCCTATGCCCAAGGCCCCTGCCTTGAGGCTCTCCCCGCCCCCGCTGGGCCATGGAGTTTTTAATAGCATGTTGGGGGGAGCTCAGAAAGAAAAAGGTTGAGAACCCCTGGTTGTAGGACCCCTGCCTCGCTTGTTGCAGAAATTGGAAGGTGTGTAGTGAATCGAGCAGGCGACTGCAGGAATAAAGCCTGGCCTTGTGGTTTAGGCAGTTGAACGCTGCCTTGTAGAGATGGATTAATCCCTGCCTCTGCCACAGCGTTCCTATGTGATGCTGGGCAAGTCACTTACTCCGAGCTTTTCACAGCTGGTCACTCCCTGTGTTCCTCATCTTCCAGGTGCCCAACTTGAGACGCTGGGGTCTGATTCTCAGGAGTGCTGAGCACTCGCAGCTGAAGTCGCTGGAAGCTGCACTTGGCACACATGACGGGCTCTATAATGCTTACTACTTTCGTGCCATAGACACCTCAAATTGGGCACCCATAATGAATGGACACTCTTGTCCTTAATCTCACTGTGCCTCAGTTCCCGCTTTGTAAAATGGGGATAATGCCCCATGTGCACACACATGGTGGTTGTGAAGCATTCAGCTCCTGGAGTGAGGAGCGCCGTAGAAAAGTGCAGGAGGGAATGAATAATTCTGCCTTCAGAGCAGGGTTTGATTTTGGAGCTTAGATTCTGGAGCAGGGTTCTGCAGCAGATGTCATGGCCACGGCCTATGATTGCTGCTCCTAATGCAGAGGAGAGTCCAGCTGCACCCCGCTTAGTCACCTGCAGGTTGGCAAGCCTGTGAGTCTTTCCTCTGTCTCTAAAGCCGAACTGGGCAATGACCAGGGGAAGGAATGCACCAGTTTGGCTGGAATCACCTGTGCTATCTGTGTTGGAATATTTTCCGGGCTCCTCTTGCCTAGAGGGCTTGATCCCAAAATGCCCCCGCCCGCCTCTCCTCTGTTAACCGGCTTCTTTCCTTTGCTCGGGAGAAAATCTCCTTGCTTCATAACTTTAATAGCTGTGCACTTCTGCCCATGTTTCCCCTCCGGAGCTGTTGAGAGCGTTGACTAAATTGTATTGTCTGACTTTATTGATGATTTTGCAGAGGTGCCAACGCATGCCATATATCTTCTTCACTGCTGAGATTATTGTTAAAATAAAAAACACACTGGGAAAAAAACCATCTCAGCTGGCCCCAGCACAGTGGGCGAGAGAAATACTGATTACCAGGAGCTAGGAGCTCCTATCTGTATCAGATTCCACGCTCCTGCTTCCATGTTTGTCTCAATGTGATGTTTACACATGTACATTTCTCCCTCACCTGGCTCTGCTGTGGCCTGGTCTACACTAGGACTTTAATTCGGATTTAGCTGCCTTAATCCGAATTAACCCTTCACCCGTCCACACTACAGAGCCAGTTAATTCGAATTAAAGGGCCCTTTAAATCGATTTCTGTACTCCACCTCGACGAACGGAGTAGAGCCTAAATCGATTTTGTTAATTCGAATTAGGGTTAGTGTGGACGCACACCACCGAATTACTGTGTTTAAGTTAATGGGGTAGTGTGGCCGCACACCACCGAATTAATGTGGTTTAAAACCGAATTAAGGTGCTTAGTGTGGCCGCGCACAATCGAATTTATACAACCTGTTTCCCAAATTCGAATTATCTAAATTCGGATTAATCCTGTAGTGTAGACATACCCTGTGTCTCCCCCCCAGCCATGACTGCAGTCCAGGACATTGGGCTCTGGCCCGGCTGTTGAAAGCGTTATGAAGGAAAATCTTCTGCCCACCCTTCTGCTGGCTATTGGCAGAGCTGCTGGGGCTGTGTCTGAAGTTGGTGACTCTTCACATAGCGCTGAGGCTTCCAGGCAGCCTCCAAAGTGCTGTTTTCCCCTCCTGCTAGCCGGTCCTTCAGACGCACGCCTGGCCCTGTCTCCTGTCACAGAGCAGATTCTGCATCACACACGCAGGGGCAGGCGTTCCCACCGAGCAGGGGCGGCAGCTAAAAGCGTGTGACATTTCAGCCTCCTTCCCGCCCACGCTCGTGCATGGGAGATGAGACTGACGGGAGCTGAGGCAGGACTCTTTTCTGGGTTAGTGAAATGTGAAATCTCCGCGCCGAAGGCTCCTCTCTGGGCTGCACACGAGCAGAGTCGTTAGCTGGCTGTGAGAGGGTCTGAATTTCTTAATCAAGTGGTGCGTCTGACAGGTCCCTCCGCTCTGAGCCTGTGGGCCGCTAGGGGCGATTCCTGCTCGCTCTGCATCACCTTCCAGCCCTGTAAGCACACAGTTGTCTTTTATCAGCTCTCCTGCCTTTGCCTGGCATTGGGTTTAAAGAATAAGCCGTAACCCCATTGCCAGGTGGTTCTGGCCCACCTCAGGTGGGGCTGCACCAAGACGGCAGGCATTGAAGCCAAGGGCCGTTCCCGGTTCAGCAGTGGCTATGAAATGCACGGCCTCTCATCATGGCTGTTATGAAATGGAATCTATCCATTCAAATAAAAGTCAGGGCCTGCGAATTATTGGCCTCACAGACCTGGGGATGACATCACTGCCAGCCAATCAGGAAGCTCCAGTTGTGCCCCCGAGTTCTTGAGCCGTTTCTTAATTCAAGATTTGATGCGTCTGCTGTTGGACTGGACTAGGGGGCATGCTGAGCTGGCTCTCCAGAGGGACACCTGCCATGCTGAGAGTGGGGTGAGGGTGGAGACTGCTGGCCCCATGTCTCTTTGAAGGAGAATCCTGGATGTCCTGCACTGCTTGGCTGCAAAACCAGCTGGCCCTGTGGTGGGGAGGGGTGGTCGTTAAGAATTGCTATGGAAGGACAGGTTAAAAAACTCACCAGGTGGAGTCAAGCAACCTACCAACTTGTCTAGTCATTAGAACAGACTGGCATTGGGTGTGAAGGGAGACACCACTCCCTGCTAAAGGGCATATGCCAGCCAGCCCCTCCGTTCGCTTTCCTACTTGTGGGCTGGGATGCAGAGAGAATCTGGAATGGGTAGAGTGAACCCCCCCAGCCCACAGATGCCAGAGGCCCACGTGGGTGGGGGAGCGTTACCTAATGGCTAGAACCAGGACTCTAGCGTTCCACTCCCATCGTGGTAACTGACTCAGCGGGACGTTGGGTAAGTCTGGTCCCCGCTCTGTGCCTTAGTTCTCTTCATAAAATGGAAATACTAGTATTAAGGGCGTAGAAGGAAAGAGAGAGGAACTCTGGATAGACCCAGTGCAGAGAACCAGAATCCTGGATTAAGCAGCGTCGGAAGGAAGAGCGAATGAGACAGAGGTCTCCCCTGACCCAGCTCTCCTGGGCTACATGGCAGTGCGTAGCATGGTTAATCCCTTTCCCGCTGTGGCTGTACATAGTGGGGGGCACACCCTGGCAGCCGTGTATGTTCCCACTGGATGGCGTGGTAAAACATCCTCCAGGGCACTGCTGCTTGCTAGCCCGGGGAACGTCCCCTTCAGTGGGCAGAGCTCCAGCTGGTGTAGCGCCCATTGAGCAGAAGCCGCACAGTGAATGGTTGTTGGTGTGGGAGGGTATAAAGACTTGGGATGGGCACATAACTCACAACAACAGTCATCCTCCCCTCCCACCCCAAATGAGTGCCCATAAAGCCTTCATCCTCCCCACACGGTGCCGCGTTAGGCCAACGCCCAGAGTTCCCACAAGGCAACTCGACAGCAAAGAAAAGGTGCACCATCTCAAAATGATGTAAGCAGCTTTTCAGCACATAAATGTGGTGTTAATGGCCGGGGTGTGAATCCATTGTCCTGTGACCCCACCGGAAAGCTAGACTCTCCTCTTTCTAGCTATATATAGTACCCATTTCGAACCCTTGGGGGCCATTGTCAAATGCCAAGTAGTCCCTCTCCTGAGCCTTGGGCCCGTCTATCTTTGGGAGCTAAATTCCGTGTTTGGGAGGGAAAGGAGGAAGTCAGGCACACAGCGTGGGCTGGGTTTGGTCTGCAGCCACTGAGCAGCTTGGGATGCCAGCAGTAGCCCCACGATAGTGGGTTAGTGGGCAGGGTGCAGGTGAGGGGGTCAGTGGTGGGTGATAAATGTAGTTTAGCCCAAAGATTTCTGGGGGCAGGGAGCTGTTTGGAACAATCATTTAATTTGATTTCCTTGTGTGTATCGAGACGCTCTGGTTGCAGCAGAACTTCTGTTGCTCTATATTTATTTTGCCCCCCTTGACTGGGAGCTGCCAGCCTGTTGATTCGTTGGGGTTAAAGCGGAGCCAGTGAAATGCTGTTGAGGAGCTTTTACAGCTGCTGCTTCTGGGCAAGCTCCGCTGCCCCTGCTTCCTACAGGCCCTGACGCTCCGTTGGGAGACCTCATTTCTTGCCTAGAGTGGTGATTCCTGGACTGGGCTCCCCTCCGGCCCCAGGCCTGGCTGGCTGGCTGCACCTTGTCTCTTGCTTGCTGGGCTGACAGTGCTTTTGTGTCCCCAGATCAACCTGAACAAGGTGGGGGAGTACTGGTGGAGTGCCATCCTGGAGGGAGAGGAGCCGATAGACATCGATAAGATCAACAAGGAGCGTTCGATGGCCACGGTGGACGAAGAGGAGCACGCCGTGCTGGACAGGCTGACCTTCGACTACCACCAGAAACTGCAGGGCAAGCCCCAGAGCCATGAGCTGGTAAGTCCTTCGCAGCTTGCGGGGAAGTGGGTTGCCAGCTGACTGGGCAGATCCTTGCTGATCGCTTTATTCTGACTCCGCGCCCCAGGCACTAGGGGATGGCTGCGGCCGGCTGGACTGAGTAGGGACTTAGCAGCAAGCGCTGTCTCTCCTCTTGCCCATTGTGACTGCCGGGAGCTGTAGACCTACCCTGACTCCCTGAAGGGCCCCAGCTGCTCTGACTTGAACGGATCCCGCTCCATGAGCCATCTCCAGGGAGCTGAGCGCCACCATCTTGCCTGCCATTGAATTTTTGTTAGTGTAAACGACTGCATACTCTGATGTGCACCCAGGAGAGCCATTCGTTGCCTGGACCTTGCATCCTGTGTGGCAATGCTGAGTTCTCCATCACACACACCCCCCCACCCCCGTTGGCCCTCAGCAAGCATCGTATTCCCCACACCCTCCTGTGCAGGCGAGCCTCACGCCGTACCCTGCAAGTCACCAATGCCCAGTCCTCGCGGCCCACCCGCCGTGCGTTCCATAGTCCGCAGTCCTCTGAGAGCCCTGTCGGCTGTTCTGGAGAGAGCTAGGCAAGGACTGACAGCAAGAGGGGGTCTTGTCCATCACAGCCGGGCATGGAGGAGAGGCAATCGCCCAGGTATGCAGGTCCAAGATCATTCATTCCTAACCAGCTGAGCTGCACCCGGAAGCAAGCAGGTAACGGCCAGCCTGGCTTCTGCTGTCTGCCCAGTAGCTGAGCCTGCAGGTGAAACGGCCAAGATTGCTGAGGGTGGCCAGGAACAGTCCGTGTCCTGCCATCTGGAGGTTAAAAAGGGACACGTCACTTCTGCTGCCTTCCCCCAATACCCAGGGAGCCTAGACTCCACAGGCTGGCCAATGGCTTTGCATCACCACAAAGCAAAGCTGGTGTCTCCCGTCATCCCAATGGCCCAGGCCCTGCTGATAGCAAGCAGCCACCAGTGCAGAGTTGGCTCCCACTCGCTCTCCCGTAGCAGCAGTGGCCCAGCAGGGTGGCTGTTATCAGGAGCGGAGGGGGAGCTGTTTGAGCGCCATCTCACTGCCCCAGGACAGGGCTTGGGTGCAGGTCTGTCATGGAGCCCAGCTCGGTGGCGCTGTGAGGCGGAGAGACCAGAGCAGGAGGCACCTTTCAGCTTGGTATTGAAGTGCAAAGCTCTCTGGGAAATGAGCCAGTGCCTCTTTGTTCTCTGTTCTTTGGCACAGACCCTGAGCTTAGCCACTCCCTGGGAAGGCCGGGCGTGGAGCTGGCTTGGGGGGTTCCTTAAACTCATTTCTCGGCGACAGCTGTAAAGCCTGAGGGTTTTGAGGCACTCGATTGAGGAGAAGGGGTGGTGGCCCCCAGCTGGGGAATGGCAGAGACCAGTGGGGCAGTGAGACCAACCTGGGGGGTGGGACTGTGTCTCCGTCAGCTGTGTTTCCCCTCAGTAGACTTGACTCGAGTGCGTTGCGTTTTCAGAAGGTGCACGAGATGCTGAAGAAGGGCTGGGACGTGGAAGGCTCCCCATTCCGGGGCCAGAAGTTCGACCCTGCCATGTTCAACATCTCCCCTGGGGCCGTGCAGTTTTGACGACGCCCAGCAAGGAAGGGAAAATCACATCCACGCTTGGGATTGGAGGCCAAGGCCAGCGCCACTGTGTGTAACCAGCTAGCACTGGGGCAAAGCCTGGGCTTCCCCCTCTGCCTGCTCCCATGAGTGATGTCCAGCCGCCCCTTTATCCTAGTGTTGCCACCGGGGGCTGTTTGCCAACAGCCAGCTGCCAACCGGCTGGGGCGGGGGTGTGGTTTGGGGGGGAGGGGGGAATGCCAGCTTGGCGCGTTTGAGATGCATGTGGGGCAAGCCTAGCAAATGCAGAACTACGTCCTCTGTCACCACGGCAACCAGCGGCTGCTGGTAGCATTTCCCTTTCTCTCGCTGGCTATGGCCCCGGTTGCTGCTGGGGGTGGGGGGGCACGGGCGGCTGTTGTTTTTCAGGAATAGATGATGCTTGTTGAGGTGACTTTGAAGTTTGTCTTTCTTGCTTTTGGGGAGCCCGCCCCAGCCCCCAGTGCCTGACCCTCCGAGATGGCAGCGCTGCCCCCATTGAAAAGTTGCCAATCTGTGGTGGCCGTATCTAACCGAGCTGCACTGTGTTCAGAGCCCCAGCGCGCTGGCAGCGGGAGGGAAAAGCTGCAGCCTCAGACACCTGGTAACGGAGATGGAACAGACCATGCCGTGCTCCAAGCGCTATACACCTGCAAAGTGTTCCATGCAGCCGGGGCATGGGCCCAAGTGTGGCACCCTGCCCTCTGCACCCACGGATCTATCCGCAGGCGTCCAGTTCTCTGTTAGCCGTGGCAGCTGGGGTACTGAGTTGCTGGTTATATTAACAAGGTTTTGGCTCTGGCAGAGATCGAGAGGCCAGGCCTACCCTGTGCCTGCCTTTGCAAAGATAAGCTGATATACACAACCCCCTAGGGCTCACATTGTGAAGTCAGCCCAGCTTTGGGTGCCTAAAGCACCTGGGGGCTGATTTCCAGAGGCAGCAAGTGCTTGCAGCTCCTGCTGTCTTTGCTTGGCTTGGGAGTCTGAAAACCAAGTCCTAGGGGCATCTCATTGGGCACCCAAAACTAGTGGCCGCTTTATGGAGTATCGTGTCCCCAGCTACTGAGGCGGTGTCTACGCTACATCTCGGAGCGAATCTCCCAGCCTGGGAGCCACGGCCTCGCTCCGCTCAAGGTCTCACGATAAAGGGGGCAGTGTGGCGGGCGAGCAGAGCTAGCGGGTGTCTGTCTAGCCAGCGTAGTGGCCAGCACTGTTAACGCAAGATATGGTGGGACTGGTCTGCAGACGCTCCCCTCTGAAGGCGTTAAAGCCAAGTGCTCAGACCCATCCAGGTCACCCTCTGTGCTGCATCCTGTGTCCTCTCCATCGCCAAGAACCCACACTGATGCCCCGCCCTTCTCCCAAGCGGGTCAGAGCCTGGAAAACTGGCCACCTGCAGGCTGCCGCTGCCTGCTGTAGCAGCGAGCCCCAGAGAGGACTCAGAAATAATAGCATGTGACCGTGTCCTTAAAGGCTGTATCTTAATGCGCGCGCACACAGGGTGAATTAAGGTTGTCTAGGCAACCTTCATTTGGGCATTTCCTAGCTTTTGATTTGCAGACTTTATCATGTTCCTTGCACCTAGTTGTGTGGTGTAACTTCCTAGGGTCTTAAAAGAACAAGCTGGAAACAAACCCAACAGGAATTCCAGCATGTGGAATCCTATTGGGACCCCGTGGATCATCAGCAGGGTTGAAACCTGTAGATCCTGCCCCCAGACCTCTGCTGCTTGAGCTAACGGACTGACTGATAGCAGTAGTAGGTTGTCATCCTCGCTGTGGACCAGCACGAGAGGGGGATGGGATGCTCTGCTAGTGGGTTTTACAGCTATTTGCTGACAGTGGAGGAATGGTGAGACTCAGGACTCCTGGGTTCCAGGTGCGGGAGAGGAATATTGTGGGCACAACTTATTTTGCCTCCCAAGCCTGACTCCTGCTCTGTCCCTTCCAAACTGGTCTTGTTCCAGCCTGGCTCTTCCTGCCCCTGGTCCCACTCTCCTCACCTAGCCAATCCAATCTTCCCTCCTCAGGCTTATTACAGCCCCAGGCTCTGGGCCCAACCAGTTCTCGTCTGCCTCCAACTCCCCGTCTATTCCCCGCTCTTTGCCCGGCCAGTCCCAGTTGCCCTTCCTCCCAGCTCCTTATCTGTTGTCTCTTCCCCCTCCATGATCTCCAGTTGCCCCCTCCCCCCTGGCGCCCAGTCCCAAGCTGTGCCCCTCCCCCCCCCTTGCAGGCTTCTTGTCCCACTCTCTGCCCAGCTGATACCAGTTCTCCCCCTGCATCGTCAGATCTCTCTCTCTCTCTCCTTCCCCTGTCCCACTAGCTCAGTCCCAGTTTTCCTGCCCAGCCAGTCCCCTGAATCCCCAGCTCCATGTCCCTTTGCAATCTTCCCCTGCTCAGCCTACTGACTTCCAGTCCCTCCCTGGCCCCTAGTCTACTCAAATCCCTAGGCCCACTTTCCCTTCCCTCCCCGTTGGCACCCACCTTTGGCTCCTTATGCCAATCTGTTGCCCCCTGCTGGTCTGGCACTTGTCCCCCTCCATATCCATTGGGTGGCTTCCTCCTCCATGCTGCGGGGGCCCAGCCCTTGGGGTCATGACGGGTGTGTCTACACTGCAGCTGGGAGCAAGCCTCCCAAGCCAGGTAGACACGTCGAGCGGCTCAAGCACAGGTCTGTTGCGCTAAAACGAGCCGGGTGGGCACGGCAGCTCCAGCAGAGTTGGGCCTGAGAGCCCCAGGCACCATGGCCACACTGGTTTGCTCGCTCGAGTCCCGCGAGGGCGGCTTGTGCCCAGCTGCAGTGTAGACGTAGCCTGAGAGCGCAGGCGAGAGTCTCTCTGCTCTGAGCTCAGGCACACGGACCGGACACGGCTCCGAGCTGCACTTGCAGTGCTGCTCCGCTTGGGGGGAATTTAGCTGCTACGCTCTAAGAAGTCTCTACTGAGATGTGTGAGCTGGGATTTTTTGGGGCCAAATTAGTGTTGTTTTTAAGGGTGACGTCAAAACACAGATGCTGTGGTCTACACGGCGCACCCCTGGACCCCCCCTGCAGGGCCCGATTGCGGCGGGTGGGGGCTTGCAGCTCTCCCCATAGCCATGGATTTGGATAGCGCTGGTCACTAGCCATGGGCAACTGCAGCTCTGCTACTCGTGCGGCTGGGCTAGCGCCCTGGGCGAGCCCAGCTCAGCCTACTCTGCCCTGCAGCCCGTTCCCCCCGTGTGCCCCACAGGACGTCAGCCTAGGAGCTCAGGCTGAGATTGACACCCCCTTTCCGTCAATGCCTGGGGGCCACCCCCTAGAAGAGCCCCTTGGCCTAGACTCTCTGCCCTCTCTCCATCACAGCTGGGTCTCCTCCTTCTGGGGTAACTCAGTTCCTCTGCCTGTTTAAAGTAGCCCAGCCCGTGTGTTCTGCTGGCCGGCCCCCCACTCCTTTAGGCCCAGTTGGGTCAGTACCTGTAGCTCCTCTCCCTCAGCCTGGAGGTTACCTAGTGGTTATTCTCGCTTTGTTCTTCCTTGTCTCCTCTTCTGCGGGTCTCTTCCAGGCCAGGGTGGCCCACAGGCCAAGCGTCTCCAGCTGCCTGTGCTGCGGTGGGCGCAGCCTGCTTCATTCTCACGGTACGGCTCCGCTGGCTCAGGAAGCCCCTCGGAGGCTGGCAGGGAAGCAGGCAGCACCCGGGAGCCAGCGCCGGGCACCCCGTGGCCGCCACATGTGGCTGCGCTCGGATTTGTCCACCTCCCTCTTCCTTTGCAATAAACATGTTTATATCCGAGCAACTGTGTGCACACGTATGTGACTCAGTGTGAGGACATCCCCCCCCACACACCCCCGGGGACATGCGTTGGGCTGGGACAAGGTCACTGGGAAAGAGTCAAGGCTCCAGCTGGGCCTTGCCTTAGGGTTGCTCCCTGGATTCACCCGGCAAGGGCAGCGCTTGGAGCCGAGCTACGAAGCAGAGCCGTGCCCAGCAGCCAGGGCTAAACCTGGAGGCTAAACCACCCCTGGAGGAAAGAACTGGAGTTGGCTAGATCCCGCGGGGGGCGAGGAGACGCTCTGCCATTCAGCAAGGAGCTAGGGCTAAGGTGTGTGATGTTTTCCACATGGCTGCTAGATTAACCCTTTAGCCCTGACCCACATCTTCCCACCAGCTGCTTCCTTTTTGCAGCCGCCTGCTGTTCCCTGGGCAGCTGAGAGTCCAGCCGGCTGGGCATGGGGAGGAGGGGTGGATGGCACGGCAGTGTGGGGAGGAGAAGCCCTCCCTGTGGGGAGGTTGGTGAGGAACAGAGGGGGCATTTCAGGCTGTAGGGAGTGGCCCTGTCACTGGCTGGGGAGTGAGCGGGAGTTGGCTACAGAAGTGGCTCTTCCTCACCAGTGGCTCATTCCCTTGTGCGCCGGGTGGCCTAGTCCGAGGGGACCCACGTGCAGCTCTGCAGAGAGGGGAAGGGTCAGGGCTGCCTGGGAGCCCAGGGGAACGTCCCTGGGCCCATGAGGAGCCAGGCCGGTGAGTGCCAGCACCGTGCACAGAGCATGGAATGCGCCAGGAGCCAGGGTGACTTTTGCTCTTTCTGTTCCCTTTCCTTCCCGCCTCTCCCAGGGGTTCATCGATTCGGAGTCTAAGGCCAGGGGGGACCATTGTGCTCATCTAGTGCGACATCCCGTAGCGCACAGGCCCTGAAATGTCACCCGGTTACTCCTGCAGTGAGCCCAGCAGCCTGGTTGGACTGTCACGTCTTGCAGACAGACTCCCCCATGTCCTGTGGGAGATTGTTCCAGGGGTCAGTCATCCCTGCTGCTAAGAGGCTGCACCATTTCTGATCGGAACTGGCCGGGTTTCAGCTCCAGCCGGTGGGTTTTGGTCTGCCTTTCTCCCCCAAGACGCAAGAGCCCTTTAGCGCCGGGACTTTCTCCCCGTGAAGGTACTCAGACACTGTGCTCACGTCACCTCTTGATCTTCCTTTCGATAGGCGGAAGCCAGCCTCCTAGTACCCACCCCCCCAC